CCGGTATCTCGGATTTATTACGCCGAAGCTCCCATTCTAGATGGTGTGACCGAGATTACAGATTTCTAGATCCTACCTTTTTTGAAGTTTTTGAAAATAATCTTTAACGATTACTTTATTGGCTTTTTGCGTATACACTTCTGATAATTCCTGAGAAACACAAAATGATAATTCTGAGTAATCTCTCATGAATTGTGTCCACCAATCTTGATCTGGTCCATTTTCTCCAAAAAGATGAGATCGCTGATTTAATCATATAATTTTAATTATACAATAATTAACTCTAATCTTGTTAAACCAAACCCAAGCTTTTGCATGTTAATACAATAGTCTACAAGTTGGTTTTCTTCATGGGCTATCAGAATATTGGGTGCATCTAGTTAATTAGGAGGACTGCCATTTTTAACGGCATGTTAAAAGATAGTTTCTGCAAGATCAAAATCTTTTGCCAAACTATTTATGCTTGAAGGCTTTAAACTAGCAAGGTAATTTTCTAATTTTTTGAGTGTAGCATGAATAGCCTCACCTCATTGAATATAAAGTGCTTCTGGCATATTTATTTTGGCTTTAATAAAAGTGTATAATAAAATTTCTAAAGGTGCAAAAAATAATATAACAAATAATATAATAAATAACGTGACAAACTTTACAAAAAATAATATAATAAAGTTTAAATTAACAGTAAATTAATTTTTATATAGATTCATTGATTAGTAAAATAGTTGTTTTGTTGCACAAAAGTGTTCGCAAATGTTTATATCTACTATGATGCAATCCATGATAAGAAAGATGTTATATACAAATAGAATTATTTGATGAATTTGCAGATATCTTGTGATCCTATGATCAGAATTGGATGATTTTATCACTATTTAAATCTTCTTATTGAGAAGATTCGAATGGTAGTAAAATTGCTCAAGTCTAATTATGGGTTTACAAGATACCTGCAATTTGCCAAATTATCCTTATTTACCAAATTATCTCTATCTACCTTATATTCTTTATTCTGTAAGTGCATGTTAACTATTTGGCCCACTTATAAAAACTCCTTCTATAAATGTATTCACATGATTACTAGCCAATTAAATTTATTATTTCAAGACTACTAAAGCTATATTATTATGTGCTAACAGTAATATTGTGATTTTATTAGTTTTTTCTAATTGTAGCCTTTTCTAAATATATACTCTAGAGGCAGTTTTAGTAACATGCATTTAAAAAGATTTGACTATATATATATAAATAATTAATTATATATATATAATTAACTTGTTATATATATATATATTAAGATGAATATTTATTACTTAATATAAAGCTACCTTTAATTTTTGAGTCACTTGATATTACTATATTAGTAAATAATGAAAACTCTAACTTTTCAAACAATAAATTTAATAATTTATAAAATTGCTTATCAAATAAAATCTGTCAAATGCATGTAGAAATAAAATATTTAAGTTTGCAAAAAAAATATCTAATAATAATATAGTATTACTTACTTTAGCAAAACAAGATCTTGGTTTTTAAATCAAATATTAGTATTATATGTCTCTTTTAAAAAAGTATTTATTATTATTTATAAAAAAGAAATATATAATTTTAATTATTATTTAATTTTTAATATTATTAAAGAATTATTAAGTAATAAAAATATAATTAAATATTGTGTTTTTAAATTTACTCTAGCATATCATAAAGAAGAAAGGATTTATCATAAGCAGTATAGTAGTAACTAGTAAAAAAGAATAGCAAAATTTATTCTGGAAGATACAAATATTTTATTATTAATTTTTTACTTTAATACAACAATATATATCTAATTTGACAAAGCAAATAAGTACTTTGTTTATTTAACATTGAGTAATATTCCAAGTTGGCTTTGTAATTTATCTAATTCTAAAGTTCTTTTAAATTACTTTCTATTGCTAAAAGCAAAAACAATATCTTAAAAAAAATTAAAAACTTTTATACTTGCTAAATGATCTTTATATCTTTATATATTAAATATTATACTAAAACTACTACTTGATTATAAAAAAAATAGATTTGTTTTTAAAACAAACTATAGCAATTTTTGGTATTATTTATTTATATTAATAAAAAATCTTCTAGAATATTTATTATTAATATTTATATATCCCTTAAACTGTAAACAATTCCAGGCAAATTTGTCTAAAAAATTGCTATAAATTTGTTTATGATTTACTTTTTTTAAAATTTAGAATATTTAAATAAATTTTTTTTTGATA